ACATAGAAATCACTAACGAGTATCAGTGACACAGAAAATGTCTGGTGACCTTATACCAAGTGAGCTGAGCTAACTTGGCAGGTAAGGGAAGGTGAAACACTGTAATAGTGTGGAAGAACCTAGTGGAGGGAAACAACGTGTAGGATAAGGTGAATCTGGCATGTTGCATTGGTATGAAAAAGTTTTCTATTCCGTCACTGACTGGTAGTGTAGTAGCTGTGGGGCAGGGGCTGTTTCTCTCTGACCATAGGCTGTTCTGAACAACTAATCCCATGTTAAGAAGATGCTGATTTCCTTTTCCACTGAGAACCCCTGAGCCGAAGTCATCTGTGACAAAATGAAAACCTGTTTCCTCAGACTGACATAGACCTCCTATATTTATTCAGCTGTCAGAATTTATTCCATTTATTCATTCTTTAAAGAGGGGAAAGACCCTGGGAGCTTCTGAATTGTTAATGCTGAAGGTCATGCTCTATAGCCTTATGACTTTTATTATAAAGGACATTTTCTATATTTTAAAGGGATTGACGAAAACCTTGCTGGGTTAAGACATGGCTTGTGTAAAAACAGTGAGGTCAACTTCTGCTCTGAGTTATGCCAGTGTAAATCTGGGATAATTTCATTACAATAAGTGGAGTCAATCCAGGGACGTAATTATCCTGTTGTTTTGGGTTATGTGATGCCTATGGAAAACAATGAGAATTACATGCATAAACAATATGATAACTAAGTTCTGAATAGGTAACTCTTACCAGGACTGATGCTTAACCTAGTAAGCATAAAAGATAGATGTTGTCAATAGATATAAAAACCTAAGTGTAATGCTATAAAAAAATACGATTTTATGTATATGTGTAAGAAAAACAGCAATGGTAAAACATTTCCAGTTTATTTAGTTTTTATGTTATTTCCCACCAAAATCTTCAATTTAGCTGAAGTTACTGAAGATTTATTTAATTTCAGGCAGATGCCAGATCCAAAGTGAGAAAACCTTAATTTTATAGTTTGTGGAAAAAATTATGGTAATAGCCATTGGGGATACATTTTCATGGAAAGCCAGACCAAGGAATCTTACCAAAACTTGAGATTTGGTTGCCAGATGTTAAGAGAAGCTTACCAGAAGCTTACCAGGAGAGAGACACTGCCTACCTCTCTGTTGACAAGCAGCAATTAACAATGAAATAAACAACGGGTGTCCAGAAGACAACTGAATGATTTTTCCATGTCTGCAGTGCTAAACCATTTTTATCAATGTAAGTCCAAACTCTTTTTGGAATGGTCCTTGGGCCATGATGGCTTGTGAACTGTGCACTCAGAAATTGTGAATTTATCATGGCCAAAACCTTGCTCAGGGCCATTCCTCTATTTCAATTATTTAAATTAGAGGGGTGTAATATCTAAGCTTCTTGCACCAGGCAAAAAACCCAATAAATGAAAACCTTCTGTTCTTTCTTTTACCCAAAATACCATTTTTTTGTACTCAAGAAAGTACAAAAATATACAGTTTTGTGCATTTGTTCTCAACAAAGCCATTAATTATTATTTTGGATTTATGGTTTTACAAACAATATTAGAATGTAGCCCTCCACTTCCAAAAATCATGTATACACACACATATCTTCTCATGGGGTCATAGATTTGCTTAAAAATACATGTAAATTAGCAATAGATTTTGCCACAAAATTCAGAAGATTCCATAAAATATCATATACATAACGAATTTGAATTTTTCTGTTCTGTGCCCAGGACATACACACCTATCAGAGGAACAAGACTTATTCAGCATGTCCCAAGCATAAATAAGGGAGCAATTCAGATCATAATCTGGTTTTTACTTGCAAACTCCACTAATATTTTGCAATATAAATGCCAAAAAGGCCCTAATTTCCATGTGATCTCTATCACATGAAGCAGATATGGAAAAAACTTTCTGTCCAACTCTTAAACCACAAAATAATTATTATTTGATAAATCTTATCAGTGAAGGTCTGTGTTGAACTGGAACTGGTGAAACACCAGGGAAACTTATCTTCTTGATTTTCGTCTATATTCTTTTGTAGTATTGGCATCATAGTAAGTAAAGAATAATCTCAACTGGAAGTGACTCTAGAAATCTTTTAGTCTGCAATGGCCAGACTTGAAGTCACGTTAGGTTGCCTAAGGCCTTGACCTATAATTTCCTTCTTTTCAAGGAAATACCTAATGGATACAATACTCTCTTGTTCTTGCAGTCCATTTCTCTGGTCCATACTTCATTAGTTTGTAAATAAGAACATGATGAGACAGCATTTTGAAAGCCTTCCTGAAGTTAAGATAAACAACCACTGCTCTCCCCCAGCTCATCACAGCCAGTTTTGTGAAGCAGGATTACCCCTTTTAAAATATATGGTGACTACTTGCAGCCATATTCTAACCCTTCCTATGTTTAGAAATTCTTTTCAGAATTATTTTCTCTATTGCATCTCCATGGACTGAGGTAATATTGCTCTGCTCTTGGTCCTAAAAACATATTTTTTGGTTTTTCTAGAAGGTAAGGGGGACTTTTTTCTTTCTTCCAATCATCAAGAATCTCTCCAAAATGTTACCATCTTCATTATTTCTCATGAAATTCTAGAATACAGCTGTAAAAAATGTTTATCAGTTGTCAGTGAAATTCAACAGAAATGTTTTACCATCTACTTAGAAGCATAAAAAGGCATTAGGAAAGTGTCAGCATGGTCATGATAGCAGTTTAGACAGAAGGTCATCACTGGATTGGAACTATGTCTGGACTCGCCAGTTTAAGCAAAAATGTACACAAACTGACATCCTTGTTCCAGCCATGAAACCATTTCTTTGGACTACAGACATAGTTAGGCTGAATCTTACATTTTGTTAAAGATGTAGGGCAAGATTTCTCCACGAAGTGGTTTAAGATCTGAGCTAGCAGAGAGCCCTGGGCTATACTACTTTACTGAATAAAAATATCAGTGCACAGACTCAAGTCTTGGACTCCTGGAAGTCAGCAATCCTTGGCTGTTAGCTTGCTCTTGATGTTCACTGATCCAAGCCTGCACAGGACTTCAGAAATATAAAGAAGGTCTCAAGGCAGTATCTATGAACCTGAACCTTTCTTAATTGAAGAGCCATTTGATACTTTCCCAGTAGGCTTTGCAATGTCAAAGCAATCTTGGTCATTGCATATATGCCTTGTATGCCACCCAAAAAGTGCAACACATAACCTAAGTATCATGCCATGAAAATATCATTTTGGCAGCTGCTCCACACCTTTCCCATTAATTTGTACATTTTTAACCTAGAAATCACTGAAAATGTATATATATCTTAGTGTAAGAAAGATCATATAAACCACATGATCCAGAGGAGATACTAAGAGAAGTATAATGGATGTGAAAGACCTGATCAATATTGATACACAATGGATACCACAGAGTCTTAGGCTTGGGGATTAGTCTTGATCTCTCACAGAGCTAGTCAATGAGACCATGCTGGGTTCAGACTTTGTAGCAGGGCCAGTAGAAATAAAACAAGGGGTAAAGATTTTAAACTAATAGAGGGCTGGCTCACATTAGCTACAACAAAGAAATTTTCTACAATGAAGGTGGTGAAACACTGGTACAGGTTACCCAGAGAGGTGGTGGATGCTCCATCCTATGGAAAATTCAGGGTCAAGTTGTTCAGGGCCCTGAGCATACTGACTTAATTGAAGACGTCCCTTCTCATTGTAGACAGGAGCTGGATTTTATGGCCTTTAAATGTCCATTCCAACACAAACCTTTCTGTGATTCTATGCTTCTTAAACCATCTCATATCAATCTGTGTCACAATGTCACAGTTTGTAGGCTTCTTTTTTTTGGGAGGTGGAATAATACTGATGGATTAACCCATTGCTTTTTTAAAGTTCCCAAGTCCTGACCCTCTGTCCTTCATGTATGTACCTATGGACATGTATACACACACTGCTGCTACTTTAGATCAATTTGCATGTGTTACACTGCTGACTATCACCAGTCCTATATTGTTAAATTTACTTTTATTATATTTTCTAGACTCTAAAATGGTTTCCTTCTGTGGAAGCTCTCAAAATAGAAAACGGACCTGCCATTGTCTTTTTATACTTGGTCTCCACATAGTTTCCCTCTTTATCAAAAGCTTCAGGCAATTTAAAGGAATCCACAAGGAAAAAGCAGAAAACACTGGAATTAGCAGGAGACATTCTATAGAAGGGGGAGGAGCTCTTTTTTTCTCAGTTGCTTGGTAGTTTGTCTGGTTGTCGTTTGCAAGATCTGTATTTGATTAAAGTTTATACCATCTATCTGGGGGATGTGTGTGGAACTGGTGAGAAAAATTCCTGATGAAACAAAGTTTTATAGAAATATTCTTGTTTGCAGAACCTTAAGTGTTTATGTCAAAATATCTCAGGTGTGACAGATTTTCCTTCGACTCAAGGAAGGGTTCTCTTTACTGTAGTTATACTGCAAGCTCCCAAGGTGGGATTCAAAAGGGAACAGATTTATTTCTGTCAAGAAGATAAATATTGGGGAAAAGTAAGTTATTATGTTATATTACTTCACAGATAAAGGCGAGAAAATATAATCTACTAATGATAGATTATGACAAAAACTAAGACAGAATTTTTTTGAAGTAATGGAACATCGAAAATACTATATTCTCTTCCCATTAGTAGTAACTGAGTGGTTGTAGAAGACAACTTTAGGTAAAGTCATCATGAACTCATTCAGTTTAAATTACATGAACAGATAAGCAAAATTAAGTCAGCAACTAAATTTTTCAGTTTTAAAACAGAATACTCAAGAATAAATTTTAGAACTTATATAAAATTTACTACTAAATATCATAATTCTGTAACTGTAACATGAAAAAAGGGTCAGATAACATTAAAGGGTGAGAAATTATGTTGGTATTTATTTTATACCTACCAGTAAGTGGACAAATGGATAAATGGATAAACCACTTCTTCCAAAAAGAATATGAGAATTAAGCAGAGGAACCCTAAAGAATGAAGAAATGAACAAATATGTAAACAATCCTTATGTCATAGAAATAAGCAAAAGCAAGTGATTTAACTTAAAAGATCAGTTAGACTTTGGAGCTATTGAAAAAATTGTTCACATTTAAAAGTATCTTAGGAAAAAGAAACAAAATTTCTGCTGCTCAGAATGAGGATGTGACTAAAAATAATAAAGCTTTGTTCAAAATAATATTTTTGCTACAGGTCTCAAAAATCATGAAGTGGAACATGGGGCAAAGGCCCGCATCTAATACAAATGGGATGGGAATGATCACAGCTCAGATGTGAGAAAAAGTCAAAGATCTCATTATATTTAAATAAAGAAACAGAATAAGCACCAGGATAACCTCCAGACTGAGTAAGCTGTCTCTGTAGAAAAGACAAATGAGAACAGATGCATTTGATGGCTAATTTCCAGCTGAAATAAATAACAAGCTAAATAATTTTGCAAGGAATTAGAGACTTTTTAACTGTGCATTTTTTTGAAAGCTGTCTTCAAAAAAGGCTAATTTAAAGTGGAACAGATACAGAAGGGTAGACTACCCACAGGTAGTAGACCTAAAGACCTTCACTGATATTGCTCACTGAAATGAATACTGAGAGAATATATGATTTCTCTCCACAAGGATATCATGGAGGCTAGCAGCAGGGAAGGAAAATTATTATTTCAGATAAATGGCAAACTTGGCACAAGAACAAGTACAGACAGAATAGTCAAGCATAAATTTAAGCTGGAAACCAGAAGAAACTGTAAGAACCAGAGAAGGGAAGTTATTCCACTCAATCATTCAGTAAGAACACAAGAACAAATATCTACTCATAGAGACAAATATTTTAGAAAGGCATTTGGTAATGTCTGTGATTTGCCTATACTGGAGACGACCAGTCTTAGTATCATGAAAGTGCTCTTCTGATCTTACGTTCTTGCTTTTCTTCTCAAATTCGCCATCATACAAGTTCTTACTGCCGTGTGTCTAATTATCTCATACCACAGTTGCAAAAATAACAGCTCCTCTCAAATTCCTGAAAAACCTGTACTGCACACGTAAATAAGCAAAAAATTATTTATACAGAAGCCTTTTGATATATGAAAACTGGGAATCAATCTGGATTTTGTGCCTGAAAGAAGCTGCTATTCAAGTTGTTAGCCTCATATGCTGGAAAAGTAAAGATGTTTGCTGGCTGTGCATCATCACTAAGTAGTTGCTCTAATCATAAGAGGGAGATTCATCCCTTTAGATCTCTCTTCTATATCTTAGTAAGTCTCTCTAGGTTCACTTTACAGACAAAATAAAAATTAAGAGATACCTTCAGTGCTTGATCAAGTCAACTTGTTTTATATGACTATAGTTGAAAGTATGGGATGAATTGTACCCCAAACAAGTCCATTTGCTTTTCTTTATAAAGAAAACACACAGAATTAGTATCCTTCTATAGCTGCATCAATACTCATACCAAGGCATGTTTTGTGGTACTGCTGCTTGTTGATCTACTCTAGGAAATTGTCAGAAAGGTCCCTGTCCTGACTTTTTATCTCAGTCAGCCAGCACTCCTCCTGAAAATTCCTGGGACTTAACATGGGCAGAAACTGTTCCCAATAGGCACTTTGGTTGCTAGTGGAATTTATTGCTATGTACACAGACTGCTCTGTGCCAGTTGGCTTCCACAGCTGAGAACATCCCTGGGTACATTTTGTTTAGGAGGATGGTGTGGCTGTATCAGACAGACACCAATGAATAGTGTCTCCTCTTTTGGAAATGAGAGAAGTGTCAAGCAGCATAGTTTTGGGTATTATTTTAATGTTTCAGTGATTTCAAACAATATCAGTAAAGCCAACCAACATATGAAGACAAAGTAGGATCCACTGGTCAAAGGTAAGAGAATATAATAGTTCAGTGAAGTGTGGCTGTACTGAAGTTGACAGTCTCCTAAAAATTCTGGATTTAAAAAAAAAAAAAAAAGTCTATTTCACTTTAAAAATAACTAATGCTACTAATCTAGATTTTCTTTAGCTATTTATTCTCTTGGTCATATACTCACAGCTGCAAATTGTAGCAGTTTCTTCCTTACCTAGGTTTGCCAAGTTGAACATTTGCAACAGACAGCTTTAATATCCTCTTAAAGTGAGAATGGATTTGATATTTGAGAGCTACTGTCTTCACGTCTTCAGAATCAAAACCAGAGAAAAAATGTAGTGATGTCACAAGATCAGTTGTTGTATTTCAGACAACTGATGTAATTTTGTCTGCCCATCACCACTCAAAGCTAAAGAATGCAGAAAAACTGTAACATAATATTAATAATGAAAACTTTTTCCCCCACTTTGAAGAAAAGAGTTGTGGTTCCTGATGAAAAATAATGACTAATGTCAGGCTTGAATGAAATTACTTTCTTTATGCTATTTCATGGGGTCCGTGTGTATACAGCAGGGAAACAATATGCACAGTACTGGTCAGAAATAGGACTTAAACTGCAAAAGCTGATTTGAACTCACAAAAATTAATATCAGTTTTAATAGGCATTGTGTTTGCACCAGGCTTCCCTCTTCAAAGACAGTTGACAGAGAAGAGGAAAGGCAGAGGGAAATTGTATATTCAAGATCACATATGAGTAAAAAACTGCACAAAAAAATCCCATCTCTCCTGACTCAGTCCAGTAGTGATTTTAGTTCTTCAGATTTCTTAAGAAATCAAAGATACCAGCTGTCTACCAGTACAGTATTAGGGTATATAATAATGCAGATCATATTTACAAAATAATACAGATTGTGTAGATATACCTAATTAAGTTTTAATGATTTACTTTTGGTACTAGTCAGTCTGTAATGACATAGAACTTCATAAAGCTGCAATATTTACTTCAAAAATGGGGTGAAAAGTTAGGCACTTCATCTGTGCTCAGTTTTGCATTGTTGTTAGTACTTTGTGGTAACACCCAAACTAGCTCAGCTACATGTGCAAAAGCTGTGATATCTGTACTACAGACATACGTAGAAAAAGTGGACTATGGTTAGAAGCTTATTATATAAAAATAACATGAAATTTTTGATAATTCCTTAGAACTTTAGTTTATTAATATACTTTAAAATTTCTCCCCTGCTATCCCAGTAACAGACTGGAGAATCACTGTTGATAACAGCATCATGGATGGTGGATAAGTCATTCATGATGACACCTTTGTTAGGCTTTCTGCAGACCTATTTATAGCACATTTCCTTCTGCTATTGTTCTTCTGGCTCTCAGAAAAGTAATTTACCAGCCCAATAAAGGGATAATTGCTGGACCTAGGCCAGCTGTGGTTTCTCTTGAGAACTTTACAGCAGCCAGGATGGGAGAGGGAATCTGTTAGAATCTCTCAGTCCTGTTGCAGTCAGGAAAGCCTAAGGGCATATATCACCTCATGTGTGGCTTGTTCTGTTTGCTTTTACACTTGGCAGGGTCCTAAGACTCAGGAATGCACATCCTTGAATAAAAACTATCTATACAGTCTGAGCAATCGTTACATCTGATTAGGAAGCATAAAAAGAAGCACACATGTGGTTGACTCTGTTCCTCTGATGTCTGTGGCTTTTTGCTGACAGGAAGGAAATCCTTTTTAAAACTTATTTTTTTAAGAGTTCAAATAGATTTCAAACCATGTGAGCCAAAACTTGCTCTCATCTACATCCATGCAGTCCTGTTGACTAGACAAGAGTGAAGGCTTCTCTACAGACAAAACCATCCTTGCTTTGTTTCTCTGAAGCATTTCTTAATCTACATCAGGCTTACAACAAAACATCCAGACTGTTTCACAAAAAATGTCCCTCCTTTCCCTCCTCCCCCAAGGCTTTATTAAGTATGAGTCTCAGCTGGATGAGATGTCCAGGTGCCAAACAGGGTTGTCCAGAGATATAAGGCTCAGGGAATTATGGTCTTCTCTGTCAAGTGGGTTTGTGTTTTCTGAGCTAGCTCTCGAGCTGTTAAGTATGTCTCATCATGCAGGAAAATACAAAAAGCATGCCTGTGAAGCATCTCAACATTATGCATGGTTTGCAACTGCAGGGAGGTGCCATCCATGCAATGGGTAGGGCCATGTGACACCTCAGCAAGTACAGACCTGCAGCGTTTGAATTATAGAATGAGTTATGTAAGTTTGAAAAGACCTCTAAGATCATTGAGTCAAGTGTTAACCTGGAATTGCCAAAACCACCACTAAACGATGTCCCTAATGTATAATTGGAACCTTATAAATTTTAATTAATGAGTTAGTTTATCCTCTTGCATCACTGAAACCTCTTTGCATTCATAGGCATGAGGCAAACACATCCAGTGTCTTGAAAATGCCTACTGTCTCCTCTATGGGACCACAGGAGTATAGATGGAATGCTTGCATGGGAGCTCAGAAGCACATTTCAAATACTCCCCTAAGTCACTTAGATAACTAACAAAGCTATAAGATTTCTGAAATTCAGTTTCCATAGATACTTAGACCTGGACCTGTTCCATGCAAATTTAAGCACTTTATTGAGACAGTTAGGAAAGATCTCCAAAGTCTTATCAAGATGTTTTCTATTCTGGAAGTGCCAATTTCTCTCCGTTAGCTACAGAGCAAATACACAGTGATTTCACTTCTGGATCAGGTGTTTCAATGAAACACTTACTTTTAGAGCTGAGGCCAAAGTTGGATCTTGCCTCTTTCCCCTTCAAACTGCCTTCAAGATCCATTTTTTGGCACTGAAAGACTATTACAAAAAATATGGCATAACAAGAGATAAATTGCATTATTTTCCGCAGAACTGGAACCCCATCCATCAAATATTCCCTGACCTGTATTTATGCAGTTGATTATTTCTCTGTAAGTCATCTTGCACTTGTCTCTCCTAGGTAGCATCCAGTCATCCACTTTTACCCAGATTAACCTGCTTGAGAACATTTGCAATTCTCTGTTCAACATTTCCATAGTGTTTTTTAATAACATGAACATCTGTCTTGGGTTAGAGCTAGAAATAAAATATATGAGAGGCTATCTTTGTACTAGTTTTCTGTCCATTTAATTTAGAAATTGCAGCAAGTTTTTTCCATTGATTGTAATAGTAGGAAATTGTTCATTAATATTTAGGTTTAGTAACTATATTTGCCAAGTCTGGCACTTGCATAAGATGATTCTATAATAGTCAGAAATAAGTGGCTGATGTCAAGAAAGGAATCTAGATATTAGGAGAAGAATACTTCATCTATCCTTTCATTTTATGCAATTATTACAATCAATAAATGTTTGTGATGAATGTCTAAAGATTTGTCTCAACACAGACAAAAAAAAAAGAGATTTTTCTAATTTTACTGCACAATCATTTTATACTTATGTAATCTGAAAGAGAAATTATCAGAACTTAAGAACAACTCACGGAATTACTGCTTGCATTACCAATATACCCTGTTATCTTAGTACAGCATATAAAGCATATACAGGTCTAATATCAATGAAAAATGTTTCCTGTACAAGAATGAAGTCAACCAGAACTGTTAACATGTAATTTAACTGAGAATTTTGCACACAGATCTACATTTTTTCAGTATTGCTCATCCTGTCAAGCATGTTTCATTAAGTACTTAAAAGAAATGTCAATTTTTGCACTAACAACTTGTGAAATTCCTGGACATTTGTGATTTCCATGTGAAAACTATTATCTTTAAAAAAAGATATGTATTCTTTTCCTCTTAAGGAGACTGCATTTCTCTTCCTAATTTTTCAACTTTCAAGACTTTCTTTGCTTTTAAACAAACATCTGTAAGTAAAAACTTTCATGAAGTGATCCCTATTTTAGGATTCATAATGAGAAGAGAAAAGCTGTGTGATTTGAGTTGTTTTGCATGTTGCTGCAAATGTTTTACACCTAACTTGCCTCATCTCTCAGTAATATTCTTACTTGATTTCTAAGGGAGAAGGAGAGTAATGAATGACACACAACAGCCTGATTCCCCTGTGTCACAGACTCCACCCAAGAGCTTGGTTTGGGCACACAATAAAAGGCACCATACACTGTGACTACTCAGTATTTGTGACAGAGCAAACTGATAATGCATTTCCTAGACTCAATGCAATTTTACTGGCCTGGATGACTGTGTAGTCCTCATTATTAACATCTACCCTACACACTGTTGAGTCTCAGAAAGATGCTAAGCAGCTGGAAGCTTGTTCTGAGTGCCAGAAAGGAAACAGCTTCCCATACACGGAATTTAATGCAACAGCAATCCCTACATTTTGGCAAGGAAGCGCGCGCGTGCGCGTGTGTGTGTATGATGGTGGTTTAAGAAACTATAAATCTTTCTCATCTTGTGTCAAAAATGTCACTCAGGATGAAGGCAAGGAGGGAGTTTCAGTGCCAGCCCCTGACTTCTGGGGACTTGATTTGGCAAAAGGACCACACTCTTTGCATGTCCTTTCTCTCCTTCTTCATGCTGTGCATCATTTCAGCTGACAGATTTACACAGGAAAGCTGGCTCAGCAAGGCCTGCCGTAGTTGGTGGCAAACAAGAATATGAGGGAATTAACTTCTGGCCTGCTGACAGTGGCTAAATCTGCCAAAGCAGAGCTGGGTAATTTGGTTTCTTTCTTTTGTTGATTTTGTGCCAGCCCACAAGAGAGGATTAAGCAGCTAAATTCTGCATGGAGAACTCTACCCCTTTCGCTCAAATCCTATTGTCTTGATAGAATGACAGTAGCAAGTTGTGCCAATCTCTAACATCTTGCTGGCATTTCCCCAGAACATATCAGCTTTTGGTCTCTGAAAAGAAGGATTTGTTAAAGAACTAATGTTAAAAAGAAATTAAAAAGGACAGAAGAGGATGAGAAGCCATGGAGTAAAAGTTTTGCCTTGTATTAATTAAAGGAACAA